TATGAACTTTAATATGCATTATACAGAGGCAAGAGGAAAAGAGAAAATACCATCTCAACTTTTCTAAAGACAGTAAGTTCCCCTCAGTCATACATTCATATAAACGACCCCTAATTGAATCGCGATTTGTTTAGCATGTCAACTGATTTGAATCGTCACATATTTGAATTGATTTTCAACCGGCTCGCGGTTAATCGTTACATCCCTAATACAAATACAAACCACTTAGCAATCACCCAGAACACCTGAGTAATCACATAGCAACCAAAATAACTCTAGTAACCACCTAGAATACCCTAGCAACCACCCAGAACACTCTAGCAACCGCATAGCAGCCACTATGTACAGTAATGACACTCGTCTCCTGTAACGTGCACACATGATCTCTCAGCTGTCAGCTGTAGGTTGAGGGTTCAGTGTCAGTGTGTGGGGATTAATTCTGATCCAGAAAGCATAATGTTATTAAGATGATAATCCCAGCGTTCTGTCAGCCCTTAACCTGTGCAAATATCTGCCTGCAATTACTATTACTAACAATACACACAACAACATGATAGGCAGCGGCCCACTGTCACACGCCTGCAATTATACGGCCATTTCCTCTTCCTGTCTGCACTCGTGCCAGTCAAATACAGCGGCCTATTTTAAGAGACTGAGAGAGAGAGGGTTCCGCACACACACACACGTTAATAACCAGCTGTCAATCAAAGGCTTCAGCTGCACAGCATCACCTGCATGAACACAGACGATCACAGACAGCCTGAGAAATTCAATACATTTCTATAGATGAAATACAACGGCCATACAGTCATCTGAAATGTCTGCATTATATTTCAAAATATCACAGCAGCTGTCATTTATTGTAAAGAAAGATGCACAATTAGACATTACAGGCAAAACATTTGACAGAAGGACATTGCTTGGGTTTGAAATGATCAAACAATAGATCTAGTGTTGACAATGAAGACTAAAAATCACTAGAACTAGAGTCATAGAGATACTGATGATGATATTCAAACATTTTAAGTGTCCAAAACTCCAAATATGTTTTGGTGCTGCTTTGTTATTAGTAGGTACATTAGTATTATATTAGTGGGTATCAGGGTGTCTCTTCAACTATGGGTGTGTTTGATCCTGTGGACTTTTAGAAAATTAAAGTAATGTCTTAAATTATTTAATTTGTCTTCTAATAATGGCCAACAGTGGACATGCATATTTATTCAAAATGAAATGCAATGTGGCTTAGTGCAATTAACATACTGCAGATTGTTTTAATTAAATACATATAAAAATATTAATACAATTACGAAAAATTACAAATATTAAAAAAATATTAAAATTGGTCATAATTCTTATTTAATATTATAATTTTTTCTTTTGTGAATTGCATTTTAAATCACAATCACAGTTTTTATTCCCCTAAATCTTGCATCTGTAAACATACATAACCACAAGAGAAATTTTTTTTTCTCTTCTGAAAATGTACTGTTTATGATTCCACAAATGCCATTACCACATCTCAAAACTTTTTTTTTAACATTTTTATTTTTATTTACTTTTTTTTTTAATAAAATTACCATTTCATTCAGAAATCCATAGTTAGCATTGTGTATCCTGAATTAAATATTTTTGTTTTTAGCATCATTTGATGAAATTACAGCTTCATTAGAAAGAATGCATAATAAATGTCCTTGATACCTTTTTTTAATAGTTTATGACCGAAAGTCTGGATCTAGGACCAATAAATAAATAAATAAAAATCTAAACATGCAAGACATTTAAAAAGTAGTGCGAATAAATGATGAAGAACTTTCCATTGTGGTTTGAATAAAAAAAGTAAAAAAAAAAAAAAGTGGCCAGAGCTGAAGAAACACAAACATGAGGTGAGCAGAGGAGAGGAGAGGATACAGCGGTATTAATGGAGCCGCGAGTCTGCAGCAGGTAACAGTCCACACAACATTAATCACAACCAGTAGAAATAGCTGCAGGTTCCCCAGACACCAGAGAGAGAGAGAGAGAGAGAGATTGCAGGGCTTCCTGCTGTGAACTCAAGATGCTTTTTAATTGGATGGAGGGATGAAAAAGACGGACATGGAGAAACTCTTGCTCACCTTTGCATCATGTATTATTCATGAAGGACTCTTGAGGATCCGCCGCGGCCAGTTAAGATTGCATGCCGCAGAACCAACATCTCATTCCAGAACACTGGACCTGAGTGTCAGTGTGTGTGTGTGTGTGTGTGTTCGAATGTCCTGCTGCTGTTTGTTTCGCTCATAGAGTAACTGCATTAGACACATGAATATTCTCTGTAGAATGACCAAAGTTTAATGAATAATTCAACCAAAAATTAAAATTCTTGTTCATTTTGTGCCACATTTGACTGTGAATGATTTAGGAACTTTAGTAAATAATGAAAATTATTTTAATTTGGGGTTGAACTGTCACTTTAACACTTACAAAGTATATTAAAAAGTAAATGTTTAGCTGAGAAATAATAAGAACTCTATGTGTGAACAACAGTCTGACCTTTTCTGTTGTAAACAACATGAACAATTCAAATCAAAGACATACAGGCATCTACTAAAGAAAGCTGTTTGTTTCGCTCATAGAGTAACTGCATTAGACACATGAATATTCTCTGTAGAATGACCAAAGTTTAATGAATAATTCAACCAAAAATTAAAATTCTTGTTCATTTTGTGCCACATTTGACTGAATGATTTAGGAACTTGAGGGTGAGTAAATAATTAAAATTATTTCAATTTGGGGTTGAACTGTCACTTTAACATTAACAAAGTACATTAAAAAGTAAATGTTTAGCTGAGAAATAATAAGAACTCTATGTGAACAACAGTCTGACCTTTTCTGTTGTAAACAACATGAACAATTCAAATCAAAGACATACAGGCATCTACTAAAGAAACATCAGTGACTAAAGCAACTCACTGTGAGATGTTTGACTTTTTCTCTTGGGAAGCTGCAGCTAAATCAGAAATATGAGGGTCCAAATATCAGTGCTCAATTTTTTTTGATGTGAAATAACCCCTTGCCATAGGAAAAAAATAATGTAACTGCAAAGGAAAATACCATTTCATGTATTGCATTTTAACCTAATGTTTGTATTTTGTTAATATTTTAGTTTGTTGTATTAATGAATTTGTGATTGTATATTCAATTCCGTTTACTGTATGCTTGTAGCACTTTAGGGTGATAAAATAAATATCACAAATAATATGTAATATTATCAGAGTTCAGTATATTTAAGATCAGAGTTAATGAAAAGTAGAAAAGTAAATCATACAAATGTAGTTAAAATAAGTAATTCAAAAATGAAAACAATGAAAATAAATCTGTTTTTAAAACTAAAAAACTAAAATGTTTTATTTTATTTTTAACGTTTTATTTTATATTTATTTCATATTTACATGTTTTTTTTATATTATAAATATGCATTTTATATATTGGACCGTAATTCTGAATGTATAGTTATATATGAGAATGTATATGTAGTTGCAAATCTGAATATGTTGATATGATGCATGATTGAGTGTTATTTTAGAATCACTGATATGCTATTATAGTTATTTTATTTTTAGTTTATATAGTTTTAGTTATTTTAAGTTAAACTAGACAAAATGAGAAATGTTGCTTTTGCAACTAGCTGAAAGAAATTTTCATTTCATTTATTTGTATTTATTTTATTTCAAGTAACATGTTTTTTTTTAGTTAATTATAGTAACTCTAATATGACTACAAGTTTTTTTTTCTTCACTGCAGGTGGTGCCGCAGAATGAGATGTCAAAGGACGCCAGCAAAATCAGTGTAAGTGTGTGACGCTTGTCGTTTCCTCCTCATTTCCTTCGTGAAGGTCTCTTTCGTGTTCGTTCACGCTTTGCATCATGTATTATTCATGAAGGACTCTTGAGGATCCGCCGCGGCCAGTTAAGATCGCATGCCGCAGAACCAACATCTCATTCCAGAACACTGGACCTGAGTGTCTGTGTGTCTGTGTGTGTGTGTGTGTGTGTGTGTTCGAATGTCCTGCTGCTGTTTGGTTCACTCATAGAGTAACTGCATTAGACACATGAATATTCTCTGTAGAATGACCAAAGTTTAATGAATAATTCAACCAAAAATTAAAATTCTTGTTCATTTTGTGCCACATTTGACTGTGAATGATTTAGGAACTTTAGTAAATAATGAAAATTATTTTAATTTGGGGTTGAACTGTCACTTTAACACTTACAAAGTATATTAAAAAGTAAATGTTTAGCTGAGAAATAATAAGAACTCTATGTGAACAACAGTCTGACCTTTTCTGTTGTAAACAACATGAACAATTCAAATCAAAGACATACAGGCATCTACTAAAGAAACATCAGTGACTAAAGCAACTCACTGTGAGATGTTTGACTTTTTCTCTTGGGAAGCTGCTAAATCAGAAATATGAGGGTCCAAATATCAGTGCTCAATTTTTTTTGATGTGAAATAACCCCTTGCCATAGGAAAAAAATAATGTAACTGCAAAGGAAAATACCATTTCATGTATTGCATTTTAACCTAATGTTTGTATTTTGTTAATATTTTAGTTTGTTGTATTAATGAATTTGTGATTGTATATTCAATTCCGTTTACTGTATGCTTGTAGCACTTTAGGGTGATAAAATAAATATCACAAATAATATGTAATATTATCAGAGTTCAGTATATTTAAGATCAGAGTTAATGAAAAGTAGAAAAGTAAATCATACAAATGTAGTTAAAATAAGTAATTCAAAAATGAAAACAATGAAAATAAATCTGTTTTTAAAACTAAAAAACTAAAATGTTTTATTTTATTTTTAACGTTTTATTTTATATTTATTTCATATTTACATGTTTTTTTTATATTATAAATATGCATTTTATATATTGGACCGTAATTCTGAATGTATAGTTATATATGAGAATGTATATGTAGTTGCAAATCTGAATATGTTGATATGATGCATGATTGAGTGTTATTTTAGAATCACTGATATGCTATTATAGTTATTTTATTTTTAGTTTATATAGTTTTAGTTATTTTAGGATGTCAAGTTAAACTAGACAAAATGAGAAATGTTGCTTTTGCAACTAGCTGAAAGAAAATTTCATTTCATTTATTTGTATTTATTTTATTTCAAGTAACATGTTTTTTTTTAGTTAATTATAGTAACTCTAATATGACTACAAGTTTTTTTTTCTTCACTGCAGGTGGTGCCGCAGAATGAGATGTCAAAGGACGCCACCAAAATCAGTGTAAGTGTGTGACGCTTGTCGTTTCCTCCTCATTTCCTTCGTGAAGGTCTCTTTCGTGTTCGTTCACGGCTGCCGTCTTCTGCTCAGCGAGAGAAAGTAAAAGTCCATGTTGTGAGTGTTTGTCAGGGTGAATAACTGGAGCGTGCAAACACAACATCACACTCGCTCGGGCTAAAGGTGATTTGTTACTTTACTTTTACTTTACTTTTAGTCATTTAGCAGACGCTTTTATCCAAAGCGACTTACAAATAAGAAAAAGTTATTAAAACTAAAAGCTAAAACTCTATAAATACTATATATATATACACACATTTAAGAAAATAAAAGAGTGTGTGTGTGTGTGTGTGTTTGTGTGGGTGGATAAATCAAAGCATCTCTCTCTGCTACTTCATTAAATATTCACAAGGACATTTGCTTCCAGTGTGAAAGCAGAGCTCTGGATCTGAGGCTGGAGGTTCACTGGAAGCACGCCGTCCAGCCGCTGATGTTCACGATGGCGCCGGTTTACACTCTCCTGCATCTAACTGTGCTGTTATTTCTGATTGTAGAGAAGCTGATAGCTAGAGCGTGTTTGTTAACACACTCGACATATGTAGTGCTGTGGAAACGGCGCCAGCGAGTGGAGTTAATGTTAGAGTGTTTGTGTGTGTGTGCATGCGGGTTTGTGAATGTATGTTTATTTATCCACCTGATCCACACTCAATCTGCTTCACTGGCAGACGGCTTTATTAAGCGTCTGGACCCGCGCTCAGAGTCCTCTGGGAACGCTGACCGCTTTAGAGAGAGATTGTCCTATTGTCTCTGTGCTTCAGAGGAAGAGAGAAAGAGAGAGAGCTGTTGTGTGAATGTGTCTCTCATGTGTCTCTGCGGTTCCACAGCTCATCTCATTACTGCTCACATGCAGACTGATGCATTTCACTCTTTCACTGCCTCCACTGATGCATTTCACTCTGTCACTGCATTTTACTGCATTGCATTGCATCAACTGTTGCATTTCACTGTATTTAATTGCCTCCACTATTGCATTTCAATCTCTCGCTGCATTTCATTGCATTGCCTCAACTGTTGTATTTCACTCTCTCACTGCATTTCACTACACATTGCAGCCTTATTTGTTGTATTTTACTCACTCACTCCATTTTACTGCATTGCATTGCCTCCACTGATGCATTTCACTGCTTCCACTGATGTGTTTCACTGCATTGCATTGCCTCAACTGTTGTATTTCACTCACTCACTGCATTTTACTGCATTGCATTGCCTCATTTGTTGCATTTTACTGCATTTCACTCTGTCACTGCATTTGACTGCATTGCTTCCACTGATGCATTTCACTGCCTCCACAAATCCATTCCTCTCTTTCACAACATTTCATTGCATATCAATGCCTCCATGGATGCATTCCACTCTCTCACCACATCTACTGCTGCATCACATTGCCCCCTTTCACTAAACTCACGCGTTTACAAATTGTAAATTTAATTCATGTAAAAAAAAAACTGAATACAGCAAAAGAGTTGAAATGAATTACTTATCAATTACTATTCATTGCTAAACTAAATAATTAAATAGAACATAATTGTCACTCCCCAGGTAATTGTTGCAAAATATATTTGATATAATAAATTACTTGCAGTTTATAGTGCACAGAACATGCTATTAACTTCTGAGAGCAACAGCTTGAGGTAATATTAACCAATCATTGAGACAAATCATTTAGTCACATGACATTTTTTGATGCATATTCAAAAAAAACATTTAATGATTTTCATACTAGTATAAATAAAAAATTTTACGTTTGAATAGAATTTAATTTTTTTTATATATTATTATTTTTCATAAAAAAATTTTATCATCTTATTTTTGATAAATAATTTACATTTATGCACATTTTGGATATTTTATTTGTATTTTGGTGTTTCCATCTCGCATTTTTAACACAATATCCCAGATGTGGATGGAAACACCGTCTCTACTGCTTCCTGCTGCTCAGAGGCACATGCTGGGCCACACAGGAGCTCTGATGTTCAGGAGCTAGTTTCAGCCTGCAGGACAGAAAACATGAGAGCTGGGAACAATACAAAAGACTCCTTGTTAACAAATCCAGAGGTTTATTAGATTGGTGCTTGTGTTTTGCGAGTACCACAGGCATGGGTGTAGTCGAGGCAAAGCACTACAGGTGAACAGGGTGACAATTAATTAATAGAAATAACCATATTTTCACCAGTTGATTAAACAGATTAAGACAATGGTTTTGCATTACAAGTTTTCTTAAATATTATATTTAAATGTGCAAATGATGCATTATGTAATTAAATATGCACTAATTTGCGGAACATAAATTGGAACAGTGGATAAAGCCAGGTACGAAATTCTTGTTTCATTTTGTTGACATATTAAAGGACTTATAAATAGGATGTTGGATATTTCTTTTTATTACTCCATAAATCAGAAAATAATGTCAACAGTCAAAAACTAGAATACATTTTCACATGTTTTAAGGAACAAAATGTAATAGAAACCAGGCGAATGATATATGAACAACAAACCCCTCT